AGTTGGGAATAACTTAGAGGAAACCAGGGTTTAGCTAAGTGTTTTGTTAGATTCCAAAGCTCTGGACAAAAATTATAGTGAAAAAGCTTAAATCTCCCCTTCTTCCAGAAATACAGGACTTTATGTTCCCTAGGAGCCACCTTGTCTCTTCTTCCCATTCTCTTGTCATCTTCTGCAGGCTTCACTTGTCCCTCAATCCTCCCCAAAAGCAACTAAAACAATCATTCAGGAATTCCCTTCTTTGTTGCTGTTTACCATATCATTAGCATGTCATCAAAAAGTATTTATTAAGCACTTATTATGTGCCAGGTTCTGTGCTAAGTGCTGATGATACAAAAAAAGGTAAAATATTGACGTAGTTCTGGATGTGCCCAGTCCAAGCACACGGGATGGTGGTTTCTCACCTCATTTGACATCTCCAGACAAAGGTGGGGAGGCTCTACTGGGACTTGTTTTTCAGGTACTGATTGGGCTAGATGGTCACCACTGCCCTTCGATTCTGGAAGCAGATTCCTCTAGCATAATAGCCTCACTTAACTCTTTGAGGGCAGGGACTGTCGTTTGCTTCTTTTGTATCCCCATCATTTAGCACAGTGCTTGGCATATAGTATGTTGATTGAACTTCTCACTAGTTACCACCTGTCTTAGACAGAAGCCATTCCCTGAAGAACTTAACCCTTTCATACTTTGAACTCCACTCTCTTTATTATTGGTTGCCTCAGTCATCCACTATACTCATGGAACTGTCAGTACTAACTGGAAATAAATTCTAGCCTATTCAAAATACTAGCACAATATGGCAAGCAGCAAGCTGGCATATAATATCAGCATCTTTCAATCATCCATGCAGACTATACAGAAGTTTACAAGAGAATAGAGGCAAGAGTTTCCAATGAACATAGCAGGAGCACTGGCTTTTCAAACTCTGAACAGGATACTGAGGTATTTGACTTGGGTGACTCCCCAGTACCAGAAGAATGGAAGGATTAGTTGGGGAAGAAGTTCAGTAAGGGCATAAGCATGTTTTTCACTGAATAATGGGATATGGAGCAACTTCCAGAATTCAACTCATTGATTCATGACCATTATAGCAAAAGCTAGGAAGATCCCGCCATCTACGATGTAAGAACCCAGAAACTATATCAAATAAATGCTGTCTAATGACATTATCATAAAACCCAGCAGTCCTTCTTAGAAGCATCACCAATAGTGCTGGTACCAAAGAAAAATGGAAAGATGTGAATGTGTGTAGATGACTAAACTTTGAACAAATAACTAAAGTGAACCAGGGTGCTAATTCATATACTCAGGATGCCCTAAATGATCTTCTAAGAAACCAATCTTTCACTACTGCAGATCTCATCATGATACTTCCATCCCCCTGCCATTCAATAAATTCCAGTCATTCCTTATTACCTTTAAGAACAAATACAAAATTCTCTGCTTGGCTTTCAAAGCCCTGCATAACCTGACACCTCTCTATCTTTCAAGTCTTGTTACACTGCATTCTCTTTCATGTAGTTTACAATCCAGTGACACGGACCTTCTTGCTGTTCCTTGAACTAGATACTGCATCTCCTAATTCCATGCATTTTCATTGGCTGTCGTCCATGCTTGGAAATGACTCCTTCCTCACTTCTGCCTTTTGGCTTCCCTGACTTCATTCAAGTCTCAGTTAAACCCCTACCTTCTGGAAGAAACCTTTCCCAAACTCCTTTAATGCTCTTCTTTCTAAGATTACCTTTTGGTTTTTGTTTCTTCTCTATGGATTGAAGGAGTTTGCAGAGAAAAGACCAATTACCTGTCTCTTTTGGCAATCAAATTGCTCACATATTAAGAGATAAATACTTTATACTTAGAGTATCTCACAAGTAGAGCTTCCCAAATGGATCATCTCAAATTAATTGCATTTCCTTTTGTTGACAAGATTACTAAACAAATATAGAAGGAAAATGCTACAGAAATAGTTTAGAAATATTTTGCCAAAGCTTCTAATAAAAAGTAGTTCACACTTTTCTTATGAAGAAGGTTGAGAGATAGTGATTAGCCTATAATATACTCAGGTCTCCAATGGAGTATCAAAGAACTTGTGCCTGACCCTCCATTGTTTAACATTTTTATTAATGACTTGGATAAAGGAATAGATAACATGTTAACCAGAAAAAAGGTAGAAAGGACCACAAATATAATTAATGAGGAGAGTCTTGACAGGCTACAGCATTGGGTTGAATCTAATGAGATGGAATTCCATGGGGAGATATGTGAAGTCTTGTACTAGGATACTAAAAAAATCATCTTCATATGTATAAGAAGGGAGAGGCATGGATAGACAGTGGTTGTTATCCATAAGATCTGGGAATTTTAGTGGATGACAAGCTTAATATGAGTCAGGAATTTATATTAAGAGAGGCTTTGCATGTGTGTTCGGGCCCCGCTCTCACAGGGTTGTCCTGCTACATTGTCGATGAGGGTCAGAGAGGTATGCTGAGGAGTTGGGGATAACCTCTTCTCTAATAGCATACTGGCTGTCTCTCCAGTTCTGCCATTGTTAAGGGAAGAGAAGGAGAAGAGAAGGAGAAGAGAGGGCAGGTAGGAGGTTGTGAGGAGGAGGAGGGTGAGAAGAAGATTCTCTGGAGGGAAGGTGGTAGAGTGGAGAAAGACTATAACTAGGGCCTGATATTGCACTTAACTCAAAGTGGCAAAATCTCAGCTCCTTCTATGTTGTTATTTCTAGAATTTATACATTCAGATATAGGAGAATTTTTCTGAGTAAAACTCATTCTTTTATGTCTGGAATCCTAAAGAAAGCTAAGATGAGGGGGTTGGCCTACCAGCCAGAGATGATGGCCATCGCTCTGGTGAGCCTGACCTTATGCCCTGGGACTTTGAATCCATTAATGTATAAAGTAATGTGGAGGGGAGAGAAAGGGAAAGGAAGGGACAATAGGGAAGGGGAAACTCATGTTCTAGGTAAGGAGGAACCTTCTTTCAGCCAGGGGCTCAGCAAGCACATGGTGGAGGGGATGAGACTGGATGGTGAACTCCTAAGGTTGCTCTCTCTCCCTCTCTCTCTCTCTCTCTCACACACACACACACACACACACACACTTCTAAGTACCAAGTTAGGCCCACAAATAGTCTGGCATATAGTAGGTGCTTAATAAATGCACGGTGATTAGTTTACACTAGTCTTACAAGAAAAAAAAAAGGTTGGTTTGATTTTCCCCCTGCCCCAGTGATGTTATTTATCCTATGACTGAGACCTTATGAAAAAAAACCTCTGGCTTTTGAACTAAAGGAGCATGGTAGAATCTATTCTTCTCAGGAAGAAACAGTAGTCCTATAGCTAAGGACTTCAGTTAGACCCAGCAATGAGAAGCAGAGAGGACTTCCATGTAGCAGGAGGGGCAGTGTCTGGCTATGTCAATAATGATGCATCTAGTGGAGACTCCATGTCCAGTAAGGGGGTGTCTAGTAGAGAATGATGGGGAACAAACCTGGTGCTGATATCATGATAACACTACTGGGAGATTTCTGTGACCCTGTACCACTGGAGGTTTGAGTTACTCATCATTTTATATGTCCTAGTTGCATTAATTCCTAGGGTCATTGAGCTACTAATGTCTGCAATATTGTCCTCAAGCCATGTATTTCACTTGCTGAAACCGAGTTCCATTTCCAATATCCAGAGAAGGAGACCTATAGTTGGCCTCTGAAAATCATACCTATCTCTTCCCTTCCATAAATGCTCCCCACTTGTGTTCATTTTTCCTGTTGATGCTCTGTATATTTGGGGAAGAATTGTCCTCAGATTTATGACTAAAATGTTTCATTGTTCCTTTTCTTATCATGTCCTCTCATGAAGTCTTTTGAATTTATATTAGCTATGAAATCCAAAGATCTGCATTTGAGACTTCTTAACTCTGTGATGTTAGGAGTGTCCCTGAGCCTCTTTCCTCATCTCTCAAACTGGGGTTGTTTTCACAAAGTTAGCATGAGAAAAATTACTTATAAATCATGAAGTATCATCATGCTTAAAAACCAGTGGTTCAACAAAATAATTCAGGGGTTCAGGTCAGAAAGAAGTTTCTTCAAAGACACAGAAACATTAAAAGTGCCTACAACAGAACCATCCACAGACAACACCACAGGAAGGAACCTTAAGGAGAATCCTAACAATGGCATATAGCTATGAGGAGTCCACAGAGGAGAGCCCTGTCTCCACCCTCCTCCAAATATAAGAGAAAATAGAATTTTATATATTAACGTGTAAGAAAAATATGGATAGACTAGCACAAAATAATAAAGAGTGAAATAAGCAGAACCAAAAAAAGGCTGTATACAGTAAGGGTAATATTGTTTTAAGAACAACTTTGGGTGAATAAGTCATAAAAAGGGAAACAAAGAAAAAAGATATTTGCACAACTTTATTATATATCTAAAGGAAATAGCAAGTTGTGCATGGTTGATTTACAGTTTCATGTGTAATCATCCTTTTTACATATACTATGTAATCAAAATTCTTGTTTTATTCCACAAATTAAAAATAAAATAAATAAAAAAGTTTTTAAATAGACTAGTTGTTTAATTTTATGTGATCAAAATTATTAAATGATCTTCTTGATTCTTTACGTGGTTAAGAACTCACACCTTAGCAATATTTTTTAAACAAATTTGAACTTGGTCTCTTCCATTTTTTTAAAATAGCATAACCATTTACATTCAGGTTATGCATCAACTTTGAGCTAAATGTGGCATATGGCGTAAAGGACTTTGGGCCAGGCAACACTGAAGGAGTTTTAAAGAGAAGAAAAGGAGAAGAAAAGGAAAAGTAGAGACAGAAGGCAGAGAAAATGTGAGAATCGGGGCTGGTGTGAGAAAGGAGGATGGGAAGAAGATTCTTTAAGGGGGGCAAGTAACCAATATGGCCATGATCCTAATGGATTATACTTGGTTTCTAAGGCAGCAGAATCCCAACACCTTCCTCAGGCTTGTCTCCTTTAGGCTTTTAACTTGCAGAGGTAGATATACTGATTCTGGCAAGATTCATTTCTCCAGCTCTGGAATCCTGCAGAGAGATAGCCTAAATTAGGTCTTACATGTTTTAAGTGGAGGCCCCCAGTCTGATAACTATGGCTTCTTTGCATAGGTTTTACACTCATTTAAATATGTCCTTGTGATCCAAAGAGGAGAGTAAGGAGAGAAAAGGAAGGAAAGTAGAGGAAAAAGTGGGGAGGGGAAAAGAGAAAAGGAAAAAGAGAAAAGAGTAGGGAGAAGAGAAAAAAAGAAAAGAAAAAGAGAGTTGAAAGAAAATGGGAAGAGAAGAGAAGAGAAGAGAGGAAAATAGAAAAGAGGTTACAAGAGGAGAGGGAAGGAAAAGAAAGACAGGAGGACAGGGGAAGGCAGGAGAGGAGAGAAGAGAAGGAGTAGAGAGCAGAAGAGGATAGAAGAAGAGAGGAGAGAATGGGGGAGGAGAAGGAAGGACAGAAGATGAAAGAGGAGAGGAGGGGAGTATGAGGGGAGTCACTCTCATATTATAGGAAGGAGGTACCCTCATGTATCTAGGGATTCAGATAGCACAGGATAGATGGTAGAGGTATGAGGGTTTTTCTTTCTCTAAGTCACCAGACTCAGGAGTCAGGCTCACACAGTAGTTAGGATTGGTTCTGCTTGGGGAGCCCTTCGCCCAAGCTTGGTAGAGGTAAAGGGCACTGCTGCTCCATCTCCACCTGTGGTTCTGGGGGGAAGGGACCAGAAAGGGAGGTGATTAGGGAATAAATGGTGAAACACTTCCCACCAACCACTTACCTCCCCTATACCCCACAGTAAAGAGATGAATGGTGCCTGCACCTTCCTCAACCCTGATTCCCCAAGAGATTTATTCTGTTCTCTAAATCTTTCCAGATGGTACCATCCCTCCAGCTGCTGCTGGGATTCCTCAGCACCAGTCCCCTTCCACACCCATCACATCCTCTCTATAAGGTCTAGGCAGAGTCTATTACCCATCCCTCCTCCAGAAAACCTTCTCTAACTCCTGTGCCTCACTCCCCTACCTTGCTCTTGCCTGATCCCCTGCCTTGACTGGTTCTAGGGGAGTCTTAGGTCAGGGACTGTTTGGGACTGTTGCTCAATGTGAGATTTTCTCAGTTGTAACTCTTGTCTCCTTTAGGGGGGTAGCTATATAGCAGTGCTCACACTTCCTCCTCAATCCCAGTGTTTTTCCAAGGGTGCCAGACCTAAAAGACTGGCACCAACCCACCTGCCCCTTTTCTCCTTTACTCTCCTGGGCAGGGAGAAGGAGGGGCTTCTAGGTCATACCTTGGGGTCACGCAGACCGATCCAGACTGGGTTCTCACCAATCTCATTCTCCATGATCATGGTGGCCACAAAGGAGGCCTCAGCTTCATTAAGCAGGGACACCAGGTGGCCTGAGGGGTAGCCCTGGCACAGCAACTGTGCAAGAGGGGTGGAGGAATGAGTTAAAAGCTACTGGGAGAGACATTGAGCAAAGAAGAACAGACAATGCTGAAAGGGAGATGCAGGGGACAGGGTGTTTAGTAAAGGAAAAGAGAAAAGTCTAAAGGCCCAGGAAAGGGGGCCATGTTTAGATGGCTAGAGGGAACAAGGACCACCATTATGAGAAGTGAGGGTCTACAGGACACAGAAAAAGGAGGAATCCAGCTCTGTAGTCCCTAGAGAGTGGAAGATCTGAGTGAGAGATGAGGGGTTAGAGACTCATTGTGACCCTACTTCTAACCCCAATGGACACTGAGATAGTGAGACAGACCCAGCCATCCCCCTCAGGGAGCTCTCTCTCCAACATACATCAGCAGTGTTCCAGGTCTCTGCAGGACCCAACAAGCCATAGCAGTGGGGGCCATGGAAGCCAAAGCCCTGGGGGCAGGAGCTCCTGGCAGAGGGGGGAGCAAGGGCCTTCTCCTGACCTGGAGAAGGAAGAGAGGAGCTGCATGTGAAGGCAGCTGAGGCTCCTGTTCTCTGAACATCTCTCTTTGTACCCTACAAACCCCCAACTGCTCCTTTTTTGTTCCACTGTCCCCATGCTCCTGTTGTCCAGCCCCTTCCCTTTCCTTCTTAATATGTCAAAGCCCCCTAGGTTTTTCTAGGCCCAGATGTGTAGTCAAGGGGGAGGCCTGGAGGGACTCACCTTGTGTCAGGCCTGGCAGCAGCAGGCAGGTGAAGAGTAGCCCTGAAAAGATGGGGGACATCATAGCAGATAGCATCACCTTTGATTCTGGGGAGGAGAGAAGAGAAATCCTGATTCCCCTAGCATGATCCAGCCAAGGACCACTGAGAAATAGGGGCAAAAATGGTGGCCAAGACCTCAATAGACCCAGGGAGCTGCTGTTCTACTGCTTTCCTGGCCCAAGCTGGGACTAAACTCTCTCCTCTCTCCTGTCCCCTTCCTGGATCTGGGGGAAATACATGGACTCTGATTGTGGCAGATGGAAGACGGGGAGTGAAAAAGTGAGCAGAGACCCCTCTTTCAGAATTATTTAGAAATGACCATCTACCGGCATCTCCCTCCAAGATAGCTGCTTAGTGAGGTGGATGTCTCCTCTTTTCAACTGGGATGGGAATGGTCTCAGGAGACTGGGAGGACCCAACCTCCCACACCTCTCCCTCACTTACCAGACTGGCAGGAATAAGGGATAGTGTAACTGACCAGAAAGCGACAGAACCCTTATAGAGAGAGGACTCAAGAGGGTGTAGACATGGGCAGGTTTGGAATAGGAGGTGACTAGGCAGAGGCAGGGGGATGGAGTGAGCATCAAAGCACACATGTTGATGAAGGGCAGGGGAATTCTTGGAAGAGGGTGTGATCTTTCTCAATCTGGGTTCAGGAGCATGAGAATGCTTTCTTCCCAGAATTCAAGGGATGGGCATAATACTAGTTCCCTCCCAAAAAAGATGCCAGCTGCCTTGTTCCCATAGCCCTGGAAAACCTTGGTGAAGGTTTGTGATTGGAGAAAGAGGGAATACACACAGGAATGAGTGAGCTTCCTGAAAACCTGGATGGAGACTAGAATCCAGGAAAGGTATAGTGTCATAGACCTTGACCCTAAAGAGGGAAGGAATTCTAGTCAATGGACCCAAGGGGCCTTGACTGGACCCCCTATCTTCCTATTAATTACTGGGATGTTGTGGACAAAAAGACAAGTCTCAGGCTCTTGGAAACACCCTCTCAGTGATCACTAGCACATTTTCTAGAGTTGATTTGGAGTTAGGTTAACATAGTCAGGAAAGAACAGAGTTCCCTGAATCTTCTCTCAGCCCAAGCTTGACCCCAAAGGGGAGGGACAAATGGACACAGGTAGGACCAAGCAGCAGATCTCCCAAGATTACCAGAAAATTGAAAAAAAATAGCCCAAATGTCTTGGGCCCTTATGGAGACCCACAGCATCCTTCTGCCACATACCTACTCCTGGTTCTCACCTCTCTCTCTTTTAGAAGATTCTCTACTAGAGGTTTAAAATATGTTCCCATCAGTAGGACTTGGGTAGTTGGAAATGTTTGATTCCTCCTCATCAACAACTTTGGAGCCCACTGACTGGCTCTTGAGGTGCCCAGCGGGTGATTCAAAGTAGGTGACCCTGATCAGGATATGGTCTGCTTTAAACACCAACATCCCTCTCACAATGTGGTTCCCAAAACAGCCCACAAGACCCTGGATGGGATGTGACCACCTTTGAGCTCAGTAGCACCATCACTTCCTTTACTCTGGACACTAGACTTCCCAGTCCAGGGTGCTTAGATCTGGTCTGGACTATCGTAGCTGCTGGTGGGCCTGCCTGCCACTGGTCTCTCTCCACTCCAGTCCATTCCCCATTTATCCAGAAAGTGATTTTCCTAAAATGCAGGTCTGACCATGTCACTCCTTCACTCAGTAAACTCCAGTACTTCCCCTTCACCTCCAGGATCAAATACAAAATCCTCTGTTTGACATTTCAGGCCCATTGTGACCTGGCCTCCTCCTACCTTTCCAGTCCTCGTAAACCTTACTTCTCATCGTATCCTCTATGATTCAGTGATACTGGCCTCCTTACTGGTCCAGCAACAAGACACTCCATGTCTAGATTCAAGGAATTTTCTCTGCCTGTTTCCCATGTCTGGAATATTCTCTCTCCTCATCCCTGCCTACTGGCTTCCCTGATTTCCTTTAAGTTCCAATTAAGTCAATCTTCTATAGGAATCCTTTCCTAAACCTTCTTAATCCCAGTGCTTTCTGTCTCTTAATTGTTTCCTGTTTATTTTCCAAGTAGCTTGTTTGTACATATTGTTTGCTTGTTGTAAAACATTAGATTGTAAGCTCCTTGAGGGCAGGGACACTCTTTTGCCTCTTTTTGTATCCCACAATGCCTGGCACCTAGTAGGTGTTTAATCAATGTCTACAGAGTGATAAACTGACTGACTAGTCACTCTGTAGCTCCCAGCTCAACCTCAGGCTGAAAAGAGGAAGCAGGTTCCCACTTCTTCCCCTCTCCTGGTGCCTCTGAAACCAAAACTCAGCCACTGGTTATAATCACTCCTTCCTAGGAAGCTGGTCTTGGCTGTAGAAATGGGCGCCAAATTTCTACCTACTTAAGCCCCCTCCATACCCTTCTCCCCCCAGAGATGGAGGAGAATCCAAAGCCTGAGAGGATTGTTGCTGACTACACTTACAAGAGAAAGAAAGGAACCTTCGTAAAGGGTCTTAGGAGAAGGACCCATGTCTTTTGGAGGTCTTCTCTAGTAGTTTGAATCCTTCTGGACTTTTCCACCATTTTCATTTCATAGGAAAACCCAGAAAGGTTTTGGTGGATTGGTGGAGGGCTGAAGGAAGCTTCAGTAACTCAGAGGCACCCAGGCATTTGGAGCATGTTGGAAGTCAGCCACCAATATGGTGTCAGTTTGTTCCCTTAAAGCCCCCTTCAGATTGAGAATGAGGAAAAGAAAAAACTATTTTTCTAGAAAAGAAAAGATTTCTATTTATTTTTTAAGGATGTAGGTTGTTGCCTGTGTTATGGAAGAATATTTTGTATCTGACATGAGTGAAACAATCAATTTATTTCAATATATTGATTATATGCTGTAAAATACTTTGTTTTCAAAGAAACTCTTTGCAGGGCCTGAGATTCTGCTTTTGCCTCCGAAGTAGCCAAATACCAATTCCTTCTTCTGTCTTGTCATTTCTAGGATTGCCACTTTCAGACAGAAGATGTTGGTCATGTCAATCAAAGAAGCATCTGATGGAGCTTCCATGTATAATGAAGTGATGTCTATCAGTGACGAATGGGCAACTAATCTAGTGACACAATGACATCATTAGATTTTTGCGTCTCTGTGCCATTGCAGGCTTGTTACCTAGATATTTATTTGTTTTAATTAAATGAACTCCTGGGGACCCTGGGCTGCCACTGTGTTTGAGCTTGTCCTGAAGGTATGTACTTTACTTGCTGAGGTTGACTCCATTCCCAGTATCTAGAGAAGAGGCCCAGTAGTTGATCTCTAGAAATAAGACATGTCTCTTCCCTTCCGTAAATGATGCCTACTTGTGTTCACTTTTCTCGATGATGCTGTCTATATTTGGGACAGAATTGCCCCCAGATTTATGACTAAAGGGTTCCATTGCTCCTTTCCTTACTATTTCTTCTCATGAAATGCCTTTGCTTTGAACCAGGAGTGAGGAACCTGCAGTCTTGAGGCCACGTGTGGCCTTCTAGGTCCTTGGGTGCAGCCTTTTGACTGAGTTCAAGTTTTACAGAAAAAAATCCTCTTATTGAGGGGATTTGTTCTGTGAAGTTTGGATTCAATCAAAAAGCCACACTTGAGGACCTAGAGGGTCACATGTGGCTTTGAGGCTTCAGGTTCCCCACCCCTGCTTTCAACTAATTAGTTGGGTGGTCATAAGCTACAGTTTTAGTGGATAAATACCCATAGAACACCTTCAATCAAGTGGAAACACTTTTAGGGAGTCTGCCCTGGGAATTGGGGTAGACCTCCAAGCATGACACTTGAGCGATGGAATTGGTAGTCAGAAAGATAGCAGCAGGCTACATTGATGGCCCATGGTAACTCCATGCATTCTCTCTGCCTGCCCCCCATGCCTGAAATTGTCTCCTTCCTCATCTCCATGCCCTGGTTTGCCTGTCTTCAAGTCCCAGATAAAATCCCACTTTCTACAAGAAGTTTTTCCTGATTCTTCCTTAATTCTTGTGCTATCCCCTGTTGATTATCTCTTATTTTATATATGTGTGTGTGTGTGTGTGTGTGTGTGTGTGTGTGTGTGTGTGTGTATAGGCATACACACATATGTCTTTGTGAATATTAGCTGCTATATTGTCTTCCCTCCCCCACAGCCATTAGCCTGTGAGACCCTAGAACAAGGACTATCTTCTGACTTTCTTTGTATCCCCACTGCTTGGCATACCACCTGGTATATAGCAGGTACTTGATGAATGCTTATTTCAGTAACTAACTTCCATGTGAGGAAACTGGTAACAGTGAAGAATAGCTTTCTTCCTTAGACCACTTCTTGTCTCAGCAAAGGATTCTCTGACTTAACACACATTTGGTTGGATAATTTCTGAGTTCCCTCAATACTCTGAGAGCCAATAATTCTCAGTCTTCTCTTCTGCAGACTAAATATACACATTTTGCTCACCGGTCCTTCTAGTCCTTCTAGGACCTCACTGTAGTCCTTGAACGCCTATCCCCACTCCCAAGTACCTACTGCAGATCTGTTAATGCCCCTCTTAGAACATACCGATTATATTGAAGAGGGGATGAAAGTTCTTGTCAACAACGTCCTTGGCCTGTCAAAAGATTCAACACCAGAATGTGTACTGATTTTATCAGTGGAAATGACTGTTAACTTTGCTGCTGCACCCTAATGACCCTGGGAACTTTCCATGTGATGAGCAGCTGTGACCTTCCATATGTATTGCCCCCCATTAGAATGAGAACTCCTTGAGGGGAGAAACTGTCTGGCTTTCTATTTGTAAGTCCAGACTTAGCACAGTACTTTGAATATAGTGAGTGCTTAATTGAATGCTTTTTAATTAATTAACTCATTCATTCATTCATTCATTCCTGAGACCTAGGCCTCATTTCAAAAGGCCAGGAATTGAGCTCAGGTTCAGGAGCTCAAATGAACAACTACAGGTCAAAGGTGGAAGAACATTCATCATTTCTGAATTCTTCTTCTGTGTGTAAGCCCAGCATCCACCATGGACTCCCTCTCAGCAGCTGGGGTCATATAGAAACGAAACATAGGTGTTAGGGCAGACACACATGGCCACACCAAGGTAGCCACAGAAAGTTCCCAGGGATCTTACCTGGGTGTTAATGCCCACACTGTCTCCCATAGGTTCTCTTCCTACCTATCTGACTACTCCTTCTCAGTCTCCTTTGCTGGGTCTTTATCCAAATCATGTCCTCTGATTGTAGGTGTCCCTCAGGGTTCTGTCCTGGGCTCTTTTCTTTTCTTTCTCTAAAGTGCTTCAGTTGGTAATCTCCTAAGCTTCCATGTATTTAATTATCATTCCTCTACTAAAGTTTCTTTAGGTCTCCTTCCCCAACCTCTCTGATGACCTTCAACCTCTCCATCTCCAACCCATGGAAGCTGAACTCTCTGCAGTAGATTTTGGCGGGTTTTTGTTTATTTGTTTTTTTGTTTTTTGTTTTTTTTTTTTTGACTAGGCAATGGGGTTAAGTGACTTGCCCAGGGTCACACAGCTAGTAAGTGTTATGTGTCTGAGGCCACATTTGAACTCAGATCCTCCTGAATCCAGGGCCGGTGCTCTATCCACTGCACCACCTAGCTGCCCCTCTGCAGTAGATTTTGAATGCTTTGCAGGTAAGCTTGAGAAAGGACCAATAAAGTCTCAAAACACATTTGGTAATTCAACACATGTGAGGACTTCTCCATTGTCTTCCATACTTTTGCTGAGAAGGGATAAGAAAACATTCCAAGAATATTGAATATATATGTCTAACTAAGATAGCCCAGTCAGGTGTAATAGGGCATTACCCTCCTTACATGGAGCTTAAACAGGTCCTGAGTTCCGTGCAGTCCATTGCTATGTTGGTACTCTTGCTTGTTAATTACTAAAATTGTAACCTTTCTCAGTAATTACTCCATTACTTGTGATGCTTCTTCCCCAGTTTATTGTGTATGGTTTTTAGATAAACTGTTGAAATGTCTCTTTTCCAGCAAGCAGTTCCTCACCTCTTCATACATAACACAATTCCAAAACTCCTAACTTTCAAGAAGCATCTATGATCTTTTGATCAAAGTTATCAGCTATAAAATTCACTGATTTGTTCTTCAGTTGTATCAAACATTTTGTGACTCCATTTGGAGTTTTCTTGGCAAAGATACTGGAGTGATTTGCCATTTCCTTCTCCAGCTCATTTTACAGATGAGGAAACTGAGGCAAACAGGGTGAAGTGACTTGCCCAGGGTCACACAGCTAGTAGGTAACTGAAGCCTGATTTGAACTCAGGAAGATGAGTCTTCTTGTTTCCAATCCCAGCACTCTATCCACTGAACCACCTAGCTGTCCCATAGGGATTTCTAGGGGCCCAGATTTAGGGATGCAACAGCCGAGGGACTGGCTCATTTTTCTGGGGACGTTATGGGAATCAGTCACCAGAGAGGAAAAAGCAGCTGTCTCTGCATCAGGAGGGGGCTTTTGCTTCACTATCGGCTCCTGCTCCTGGCTCAGGAACTGCTCCTCCTTTGACTGCCTAATGAACGAGGCCTCATGCCTATGGTTCATGGGGGACTAACTCAGTAGAGCCCCCGCTGAAGTGATCTGTTATTTCTTCTGGATTGGTCTTGTTGAGAGTGACTTATACATGCTCTCCCCCATTATAATGGGAGCTCCTTGAGATAAGGACCTATTTTCTACCTTTCTTTGCATCCTCAGTAACGTCTGGGACACAGGAAATGCTGAATAAAAATGTGTGGATTGATTGGTTGCCTGAGGAGCGATTGAACTCATCTCTGAAGACAATGGTTTGCCTCTGTCTTCATGGATCTGGCGGTCTTTGCTCTGCCGATTCTTCCTTATAGGTCACTCATCTCTGCTCAACAACTGTGTCAACCAAATGAACAAAAATCTCTTCTTTTTAGAGGCAGGGACAATGGACGGGACCTTTGATACCAGAAGAGGCAGAGATAATCTACCTGCACTGGGAAGGGGTTGGCATGAGAAAGATAGGACCTTGGAAAGTGGAACTATCTCAAGAACTCAGGGGCCATTGGAATATTAATCCCAGATGGGATCTTAGAATATTGGGAGGATTGACTCCATGTGTAACTCAATCAAAGCACAAACTGCTTCTTCTGAGGGGAGACTTACCAAAGCCATCGGCTTCTCCATATGCTTCATGCAATTTGATACACACAGAAACATGAGAAGACCAAGAATTTTCCATGTGTGACAGCCTTAGAGGCTTCCAGGAGGGGAGAAGGGGGCAAGGCCGAGGAAGAATTTCATGAAGCCAAAAGCATGAATGCTTGTGGATCAAAGAGGTTTCTGCCTTCCTGATCCAAATGAGCAAGCACTGGGGCAGGAGCCCAAAGTTTGATGCCAACAGCTCAGTTGGAAGGACATCTCAGGGTCATTAGGGCTTCCCACACATGGAGAGGTTAAGATGTAAGTTCAACAAGAAATGGTATTCTACATGACCTAGGGAAATTCTAAGCTGAATTTAAATAAGGAGGTAAGCCTGGAAAGTAGCATCACTCCAGCTCTTACTGAAGAATCAAAGTTATTGGGGAAAGACGTGTCCGGTGTGAAATTCAAAGATCTGTACTGGAACATTTCTAGCTCTGTGACCTTGGTAGTTTCTCTGAGTCTCAGTTTCCTCTTCTAAAATTGGGGTTGTTTTTATAAGCCTCACATGAGGAAAGTACTTTATAAATCATAAAACACTACACGTTTGAAAACTGGAGGTTCATTAAAAAATTCAGAACATCAGGTCAGAAAGTTTATTCAAAGATACAGAATGACTGGAGGAGTCTACTAGAGAGCTACTCAAAGACATAACCTAAGAGGAAGGAACTTAAAGGACAATCCTCATTAAGTACAATGGCTATGGGAAGAGTTCTCATAAGAGGGTACAGTCTCCTTCCTCCAAAGAATATAGGAAAAGCCGAATTTCCCATATCAAGGTCAAACTTAGTTTTGCAATTTCATGTAATCCAAATTGTTGTTTTGGACGATCTCTTCTACTCCTTGGTTAAGAACTCTCACCTTAACAATATTTGTGAAAAGAACTTAAACTTGATCTCTCCCACTTTTTAAAAATAGTGTGACCATTTATATTCAGGTCACTTATCAACTTTGAGCTAATTGTGGCTAATTGTGGCATGTGGGAATAAAAGACCCTGAGGCAAGGAGCACTGAATGGTGGGGGTAGAGGGAAGAGAAGAAAAGGAAAGGGAAAAGTGGAGACAGTTGGCAGGTAACAAAGGGGAGGGAAGGTGCTGGTGTGAGGAAGGAGGATGGAAAGAAGATTCTCTGGGAAGGCAGAGACCTTGACCATGGCCCTCCTTTGACTCCAAAGCAGCAGAATTCCAAATTCTTCTTCTGGCTTCTTCTCTCTAGGCTGGGAACTTGCTGGGAACTTGTACTGCTTATGACAAGGTTCATCTTTCCAGCTCTGGAAATCTGTGGAGAGAGGGCCTAGGTTAGTTGGAGGGACAAGTTAGGATGGGAGGTCCCTAGTCTGATGACAGTGGCCTCCTGGCCATAGGTGGCACACTTATTCAAGCTTGACCTTGTGGTGTTAAGAAGCATGGAGAGTAAATACAAGGAGGGAAGGGAAGTAGAAGAAAAGAGAGGGGAGGAGAAGGGAAAAATGGAAGAAAGGAAACAGGGAAGAGAGTTGAGAAAAGAAGAAAGAAGTAAGAGAGGAGGGGGAGAAAAAGGTGAAAACATTAAAAGATGAGACAAGAGGAGAGGAGTCACTCTCATGTTCTAAAAAGGAGGGGCCCCCATGCATCCAGGCTTTCAGACAACACAAAGTGAAGAGAATGCTTCTAGGTAGGAGGTAGAGGTGTGAGGGTTTTTCTTTCTGTAGCTCACCAGACTCAGAAGTCAGGCTGACACAGTACTTTGAACTGGTTCTGCTTGGAGAGCCCTTCCCCCAGGCTTGGTAGAGGTAAAGGGCACTGCTGCTCCATCTCCACCTGCGGTTCTGGGGGGAGGAGATCAGGAAGGAAGGTATTTAGAGAACAATGAGACACCTCTCACCAACCACCCACCTCCTTTAGACCTTTAATAAACAGGTCAACTGCACATGCACCTTTATTTAGCCCAGACCCCCAACAGGCTTATTCCATTCTCTAAATCTTTCCAGATGTTGCTATCCCTGGTGCTGCTTCTGGGATTCCTCAGCACCAGACTGCTTCCACTCCATCACATTCTCTCTATGAGATCCAGGCAGAGCCCAGTCCTCCCCCAGAAAACCTTCTCTACCTCCTGTGCCTCATCCTCTACCTTTCTCTTGCCCCATCTCTTGTCCTGAGGACCCTAAGCCTCTAGGGGAGCCCTAGGTCCTAGACTGTTTGGCACTGTTTCCCTAGATGCAAAATTTCCTGATGTGACTCTTGTCTCCACAAGGGTGGGGACTGAGAAGTCTCCTCTGGGGGGAAGCTGAGAGCTAAGCACAGATATGGGCACAAAAGACTTGTCCATTGAGTCAAAAAGAATGGGCAGAGATACTGAAGTGAAACTGGAGGTGAGTAAGTACCAAGTTGCTGCAGGTGGAGGTACAGACATTTTCTGACCCTTGACACCATCCAGACCTCCCTTCATGCCCCTCCAAACCCTCTTGCCTTCTCTAGCACAGCTTATACGCTTCTCTAATTCTAGGACTTTTCTCAGGGTCTTGGACCTCCAAGACTAGTACAAACAACCTTCCCCACCCCTGACAAACACACACACTGCTTTCCCTCTTCACTTTCCTGGACAGAGAAGGATGGGATTCTGTGTCATACCTTGTTGGGGTCATGTAGGCCAATCCAGACTGGGTTCTCACCAATATCATTCTCCACCATCATGGTAGCCACAAAGGAGACCTCAGCCTCATTGAACAGGGATACCAGGTGGCCTGAGGGGTAGCCCAGGCACAGCAACTGTGGAGGGCATGGAGGAAGTAGGGGTCACCAGGAGAGGCAGAGAGCAAAGGAGGCCAGAGAATGCTCCAGGGGAGCTTCAGGGAACAGGGTGATCAGTAGAGGAAAAGAGAAAAGGCTGAAGGCCCCAGGACAGGGGACCATGGTTAGATGGCGAGAGGGGGACAAGGATCACCATTATGGGAAGTGAGGGTTTGGGGGACACAGAAAAAGAAGGAACCTAGCTCTGGAGTACCTAGAGAGTGGATGATCTGGGTGAGAGATGAGGGGTTAGGGACCCATTGTGACCCCACTTCTGACCCCAAGGGGCACTGAGATAGCAAGACAGACCAAGCCACCACCCTCAGGCATCCCTCTCCCCAACACACCTCGGCAGGGTTCCAGGTCTCCTTAGGACCCAACAAGCCATAGCAGTGGGAGCCATGGAAGCCAAAACCCGGGGAGCAGGAGCTCCTGGCAGAGGGGGAACCAAGGGCCTTCTCCTGGCCTGGGGAAGGAAGAGAGGAGCTGCATGTGAGGGCAGCTGAGGCTCCTGTTCTCTGGACATCTCTCTTTGTACCCTACAAACCCCCAACTGCTCCTTCACTGTTTCACCATCCTCACACTCCTGCTGTCCAGCCCCTTCCCTTTCATTCTTAATATGTCAAAGTTCCCTGGGTTTTTCTAGGCCCAGATATATAGGTATGGTAAAGGCCTGGAGGGACTCACTTTGTGTCAGGCCTGGCAGTAGCAGGCAGGTGAAGAGCAGCCCTGAGAAGCTCGGGGATATCATGGCAGACAGCATCACTTTTGATTCTGGGGAGGAGAGAAGAGAAATCCTGATCCCTCTGTCACATCCCACCCAAGGATCATAAGGGATGGGGACAAGTATGGTGGCCAAGACCTCAATAGACCCAGGGAGCTGCTGTTCTACTGCTCTCTGGGTCCAGGCTGGGACTATGTTCCCTACTCTCTCTTTCCTCTTCTCCCCTTCCTGGGGTCTCAGGGAATCTGCAGACCCCAGGTAAGGGACAGAATCTGGGTGCAACTGGTGGGGTTGACCAGTAAGCAAAGACCCCTTCCTCTTTTAGAGTTGTTTAGATGTGATTGTCTACTGGCATCTCTCTCCAAGATACTTGGTGGCTGCCTCTTCCTTCCACCTGGGAAGGTAATGGGGTCAGGAGACTGGAGAAACCCAACCTCCCACGCCTTTCCCTCATTTTCCAGACTAGCATGTCTAAGGGATAGTGTATCTGACCAGAAAGGGACAGAACCTTTATAGAGAGAGGGTGCAAGGGGTTGTAGACATTGGCAGGGGTGGGAGAGGAGGTGACTAGGCAGAGGTTGGGGAATGGAGTGAGGGTCAGAGCACAGGTGTTGTTGAGGGGATTCCTGGAAGAGGGTGTAGTCTTTCTCATTCTGGCTTCAGGAGCAGGCATGAGCCTTGCTTTCTTCCCAGAATGCAAAGGAGGGACATAAGACTGGTTGCTTCCCCTAAGCATGCCAGCTGCTTTGTTCCCATACCTATGAGAAATCTAGGGGAAGGTTGGTGATTAGAGGAAGAGGGAATACACATCAGAACAAGTGAGTTTCCTGAAAGACCTGGATGAAGGAGACTAGAATCTGGGAAAGTTATGGGGTCATAGACCTTGGCCCTGGAGAAGGAGGGAATTCCAGTTAATGGACCCAAAGGACCTTGACTGGAGCCTCTATCTTCTTGTTAATTACTGGAATTCCATGGACAAGAAAGAAGATTGTCAGGCTCTTGGAAAGGGCCTCTCAGTGGTCATTAGCACATTTTCTAGAGTTGATTTGGGGTTTCATTGACATAGTCCACAAAGAACCAAGTTCTTCGCTGCTTTTTCTAGCACAACTTTGCCCCCAAAGGGGAGAGACAAGAGGACATAGGCAGGACTAAACAGCAGATCTCCCAAGATCACCAGAAAAAGAAAAATTAATCCTAAATCTCCTGGACCTTCAGGCTACAGCATCCCTCTGCCACATGCCTACTCCTGGTAATCACCTCCCTCTCTTCTAGAAGAGTCTCTACTAGAGGTTTAAAGTCTGATCCCATCAGTAGGACTTGGGTAGTTGGAAATCACTTTGATTCCTCCTCATTAACAACTTTGCCACTGACTGGCCCTTGAGGTGCCCATTGGGTGATTCAAAGTAGATGGCCCTGCTGAAGACATGGTCTAGTTTAAATGCCAATGTCTCTCTCAGTACAGTTCCCAGAACAGGCCACATGACCATAGACAGCATGTAAGCAATCCTGAGGTCATTGGCACCATCACTTCTTTTATTTTGGACACTTGACTTCCCAATCCAGGATCCTTAGATCTGACCTGCAGTATTGTAGTGACCTGTTCTTTGGTTGGCTCTCCTCTATTTAGCCACAAATCTGACTTTCCTAGAGCCCAGATCTTTCCATGTCGCATCCCTTCTTAATGACCTCCAGAACTTCCCATCATCTCCAGGATCAAATACAAAATCCTCTGTCAGATGTTTCAAGCCTGTCCTCCTGCCTTTCCAGTCCCTATACCTTGCTCTACATCACATAGTCTCTGGTCCAGTGACACTGGCCTCCTACCTGGTCCAACAACAAAACACTCCATCTCTAGGCTCCAGGTATTTTCTCTGGCTGTCTCCCATATCTGGAGTGTTCTCTCTTCTCATCCCAACCTAGTGATTTCCCTGGCTTCCTTTAAGTCATAGTGAAAAGCCCCAGGAAGCCTTTGCCATACCTTACTCCTGATGCCTTCCCTCTCTTGCTTATTTCCTATTTATTTTGTATGTAGCATATTTGTACATTTTGCTTGTTTGCTATGTCTCCCATTAGACTGTAAGTTCCTGGAGGGCAGGGACTGTCTTTTGCTTCTTTTTGAATCCCTAGCTCTTAGCACAGTTCCTAGCACATAGTAGGTCCTTAATAAATGTTAATTATTTGATTGACTGTCCACTCTGCAGCTCCCAGCTCCAGCCCCAGGCTGGGAAGAAGAAGCAGGTTCCCACTTCTTCCCCTCTGCTGGTGCCTCTGAAACCAAGGCTCAGTCCTTGGCAGGATTTCTGGGGCTTGGTATATTCATTCCTAGCAAACTGGCCTTAAACTTGGCAAGGGACAGTAAATTTCTCCTCTTTTGCCCTTATGTTCTCCCATCATTCCCTTCTCCCTTGCTGATGGAGAGTTCAAAGCCTGGGGTGTTGCTGCTGGCTCCAGTTTCAAGAGAAAGAAAGGGCCCTCAAACAGAGGCCTTCAGAACAAGGGCCAAAGTCTTTCAGAGGCCTCCCCTCGTCATCTGAACTCTTTTGACCTTTTTCAACATTTTCATTTCATGGGAAAACCCAGAAAAGGTTTTGGTGGTTTGGTGGAGGGCTGAAGGAAGCTTCAGTAACTCCAAGGCACCCAGGCCTTTGGAGATGTTGGAAGCCAGCCCCCAATATGCCATCAGTTCATTCCTTTAAAGCCCTTCTCATATTGAGCCATTAATGATGTGAAGGAAAAAAAAAGTTTCTTTCTGTAAAAGAAGAGATTTATATTTCTTTTCCAAGGATGTGAGACATTTCCTGTGCTATGGATAAGCATTGTGATGTCTAATGTAAGTTGAAAAATCACTTTGTTTTAACATGTACTGCTAAATATGTATATGAAGAAATAAAGGTTACTGATAGGATTTTGGACTGTTTTGGAGAGAAAATTATGTGGATTGTAGGATTTAGATCTCATTGTTAATAATGTAGAAGGATTCCTCATTTGAATGGAACACTTCAATTTGATAAAGAGGTAGAGAAAGATCTACTTGCTAATAACTAGAAAATGTGAATTTAAAGAAACACATTTTCTTGGGCACCGAAGGAAGTGACTACCTTGTTGGAGACTTCAGAAGTATCATGGGTATTCCTGCTAATTTGCATAAACATGTTTTAGGACAAAATATGTCTAAATAAAGTAGTCCTGAGACCCAAAGTTTGAAATCTGCTGTTTTAGCTTAAACCTGCGTGGCAAATTTCAGCTCTCTTAGTGATAAAGGTAATCCCTCACATACCCTAATGTGTTAACACTTTCTCTCCAAAAGGACAGGGATCTGTGTGCCACCATATCCTGGCCTCCAGGATTTATACTCCTTTGAAACAAAGAAGAGATGGCCACTAATTTGAACCCCAAGGTATTTAGTCTGTTTCTTTGAAATCCTCTCTTCCTGTTGGCTGGATTCCATTGTTTGCCAAAACCTCCTAGCTGAATTAGGATGATCAGGTCCCTAGTATTCCACCAGTCCCTCATGGTACCTACACAGGCATGATGTCTGTGGTAACCACAAGTCTTCAGTACATATGTTTCCCTTCACACAAGTCATGATGTTTCCACCTCATATGCATCCCCCTACCCACTCCCACAGGCACATACACAGCACACACGTGCGCATGCACACACACACACACACACACACACAACTCTATGAATGTGAAAAGGCAGTATGACACAATTAAAGGTAAGACAAAGGGCACTGAGTAAGGCGGCCGATGGTTTATGCAGATAGCCCAGTGTTATGGGTCAGGTAGCACCAAGAGGAATATAAGCAAGGGGAGAAAAGGAGAGAGGAGGGAGAAGAGGGGACAGGAGGGAGATTTTGGAAGGGAAATCTATGTGTGAGAAGGAAAAGTGGGAAGAAGATTCTTTGGGAGGGCAGAGATTTTATAACCAGGGACCTATTGGACCCCAGTGTAGAAAAAGCCAAACTCTCTTGTTGAATAACTGTTGACTGGTTTCTGGCGGACCTCTCTCCTTGGAGAGAGAAGCCATAACACAACTCCCCAAGGGAGGCCTTTGTCACGTAGAAAACTGAAGTCTGGCTTTTCAGTTTAAGCTAAAAGAAAGCGATGCAGGAGCCCAATGATCTTGTTAGAGAGGAGCGTCTCAACTGAGCACTTCAGCTGAGGTCCTGTAGGTGGCCACAGTGAGCACAGCCCGGGGTGAAAGAAAGGCAGGTGTGGACAATCCGAGATTTGATGCTGCACCTCCTGGGGCAGAGGAGACAGACTACCTAGTGAGAATTGAGGGGTGACATCACCAAAAGACATGGGTGGCCCTGCAGCAGGGGAGTCATGGTATGTCTTAAGGCAGCTGTCCTAGTCACCCGAGTTACCCATTCATATACCCTTCCAGGTGTAGGTAAAATGCCAGCCACAATTTTTTTTCTCCATCTCTTGTCCTCCACACACAACGTTGCCCCATGTGTATCCCCTACACGTTAGCCCCTAATGCATGATGTCCATGTGTCTCCACTCTTCCTCCACTAATCTGTATATTGGTGGGGGTTCATTTCCTTGGATCATGGAGAAAACATTCCATGACTACTTTTCTTACTATATTTTTTCATCAAATGCCTTTGCTTTGTACTAATTGTGTCCTGGGAATGACTAGTAAGAGTAAACATTGGGTTTGGGGGTGGGGCTTATGTTTTTGAGTGGCTGTGGACTCACAGCTCCCTTGAAATAGGGAGCTTTTCAGGAGGTACACATAGAGGTGCTCACAAGAGCCCTCTAGAAAAACTGATGATCTTAGAAAAGTCAACTTCCTTCAAGATGTGGATCAAGTGTCAGCTTCTAGAGGATGCCTTTCCATCCCACCCAACCCCATGCCTCGTCCTCCAACTGCTAGAGCCTTCCCTTCTAAGATTACCTGGTAATTACTTTGTAAGTATTTGATATATTCTTAAATATCTGTGTGTCATTTGCCCCATTAGAATGAATGCTTTTTCAGGTCAGGGCTGTATCCCCATCATACTGCCTGGCATATAGCAAGTGCTT